AGTGAGGCTCTGCAGAGCCCGTGGGGCAAATTAGAGAGAGGTTTGGAAATCGTGGGTAGGGGCTGGGGGTTTGTGGCTGCCCACAAGCCACAGCCAGGATGTTCCACGCCAGGGGCCTTCATCCAGAGCTGAGGAAGCAACAAAAACGGTGCATTTTCTATATCCAGAACCTGTTGTTTGATGCTTTTCCCAACYGGGGTTTCTGGAAACAATATAAATCAAGCTTGGCACAAAGGAAAGTGTTTGCCAAGTTCTGTCTCTCTGAGCCTTCCACTTCTGGTAGTTATCAACTCACTGATACTTTTAAAATTTTCAAAGGAAGTTTTTTTTTTTTTTTTTTACCTCCTTTTTACATACATCAAAACAACTGGAGCTTACAAGAGTCAGCTGTGAGGAAAACCAAATAAACTCAAATGGCTATTGAGGATGAAAACTCCAGTCCAGGAAGAGGTGCCAGCCTTTGGGAAGGTACAAAAGGTACAAAAAGCAGCTCAGAGGTGTCAGATCTAAAGCCAAAACCTCCATGTTAAATTACATCTGATGTAATTCAACACAAAGCAAACCCACAAAAACAACAGAGAAAAAAGATGAAAAAAGAATTCCATATGGAGGGGAATGATACCTAAACAAACATGCTTCAAAATATTCCCATAATCATTTCCCCACTGCAAACAACCAGCTGAAGGAAATCAGTCCCATATGATACAGCCTGATCAAGGCTTTGCCATGACACTTCTCGTGTGCAGGATTTCTTGTTCTGCCCCGAGATCCACACATCTGCTGCACAAACACAACAACTTGGAGAAAACCATGGACTCAGTGCTCAGTTCAAGTTAAAAGGTCCAAGGCTGATCTTGGATGATCTTTTAAGTCTTAAAATACGAGCAGCTCTGAAGGAACGTGTCATCCGTATCTCATTAAAGAAAACCCACAACAAAGATGAGGGAAAGACCTCTGCCAGATTTCAGACACGAGTGGAGAGCAGCCCATACTCCTTGGCTGCAGAATATGTGGCTGTGGCCAATTTCTGTGCAGGATGCTCCAGACGGGCAGAAATCACAGCAGGCCAAGGCTACTGCTCTGCACCCAGACAGGACRTGGCTGCTCTGGTTCAGTGTGGGATCCCCATCCTCAAGAGCACACTCTAGAAGTCACTCACTTGTATTTAAGCATCCCCCTCACAAATAATGCCGCAGAGGGCAGCTTGTGTCATTTCAATGCATGTTCCTGATGCAAATGGCACTGATGAATCGTGTGACTACACACAGCTGAKGAGCAGGGATTATGTTTACCAGCCTGTGTATGAGTATTCTGTCAACTTCACACTTTCTCACCAATTCTGCTACAGGCATTCACCAGGGTGTATAAATACACACAAACCTACAAGCTGAGTGGCTTTTCCAAGCCTAATAACCTTGTTTATCTCCTGTCCATGACCAATACACAAACCTACCTCGTCATTTCAAATTCACCATTTTCTGCCAGTATTTAGCTCCCAATTCCAACTTTCTTCCTCATTGCTTGTTCTACAATTTCCTGGCAATTTTAGTCCCTGTCAATTCAAATTTGTCTGGACAGAGGGAACAACAAAGACTTGAGAAAACCATCTTATTTAATGATCCAGCCAAGCAGGTTCCACACAAGCCAACCACCCACAAACCCAGGTGCTTTCAGCTCCGGCAAAATTCACCTCAGGACAGCAGGGATGTCACTTAGCATGGAAAAACAGAAGCAAGATATTGAATCAGATACCAACTAAAGGTGCCTCTTCCACCCTCTGTGCCAGGGAGCCCCTTAATTTGAAACAAAACAGGCCAGGGAAGCAGGCAGAGGCGCAGAGGAAGAGCTTGGTGTGGTCACACAGAGGAAGACCCACTTGTTTGGCCTGGGAAGGGTTTAAAGACTCTGGACCAAGGAGTGTTGGGCCAGCCCAGCTGTTCTGATCAGGAGTGTCTGCACTTTGCTCAGCTCAAGGACATGGTGGCACTGATCCAGAGTCCACATGCTCCTTTTAAGTGGGACCGTACAGCTCTGATCAGGTCAGCACCAGCTGGACATCAACTGCAGGCCCTGTGAGGTGAGGYAGGGCCTTTAGAACAAGTGCTGCTTTGTGAGGAACCTGAGAATTTCAGAGATCATTCACACATCTCCAGACACYTACTGGCTGTTCAGGACATTGGGAATGGCAGAGTTCCTCAAGAGTTTCACAGCCTGAGCAGGTGTGGGGTAAAAGCAGAAACATCTGATACTCTCCCAGCTACAGGGATGCCACCTAAGGTAGGAGACTTCACAGAATAACCAAGGACTGTCTTTAGAACAAGGTATATTTATTATTCAGCAACAACCTCAGGAGAACAGTGTCAATGCACAAACCAGCAAACCCAAGTGCTCATCTTGGCTTTACAACAACAGGGATGGAACAAAGACAGTCCTTGACTTSTCCTCATCCTTTGTGGGAGAAACTACATTAATCCCACATCAACACTGGTTTTGTGGGTTTTTCTGGGGGGAGGCAGAAGGCTTGGGCAGGGATGGTTCTAACCTCTGCCATTTCATGGTTCAACTCACAGTCCATTTAGGATCACACAGACCCATGGAACCACGGTGCCAAAGCCAGCACTGAACAGCATCACCCAGTTCTCACRTCTGCCTTTCAAAGGGTCAAACTGCAGAAGATTCTGAAAGCTCTGTGAGAATAAGAGAGCTGGGGAACTCAACTCAAAATGTAGAGGCTAAGGAA